ATAAAATGAGAGAGTCTTATTGGTGTAAACCCATACGGGCACCGTGAAGCGACTGTAAGCAAAGAAATTGAAAATGAGAGTCTTGTTAGTGAAAACTCGTAAAGAGCACTATAAAGCAATAGTGAGAAGAGAAATGAGAGAGGTCAGCTGGTGTAAACCCGCAAAATGTGCCACTGATAGAAAAAAGGATCCTCGCAACCATTGGCATCAACAGAGTCCTGACGAGGTTCCTCGGTTTCAAGGCAAAGTTGTGATGAATTTCTGAGAGTCGGACGGTTTACACAGATCAGACATCCAGTCCAAAAGGCATGTCATGTTCATTGAAGTCCGCATGTACTCTAGATAAGTCCTTCTTTCCTTTCTCCAAAAGGGATAACTCTTGTTTAAATTCATTTGTCCATTCCATTGTTTGTTTGTTTGTTTATTTTTCTTTGAATCCCTTTCGGTCTAATTATATTGCGAAACTGAGACAAAGAAAGGATGGCATGACTGATTTACATGGTTCTCATTTGATATAAGCTAATATTCAAAAAGGGTACCCAACATCATCAGGGGCATCAAGTCGACCTCGACCAGCCATGGTGGCCGATGCTTCGAAATTAAAACTCTTGGGAGGAGAAAATCAAATTGAGATGCCTATAAAGACAAATGAAGTTGAAAGTGTCAAGTCCCATGTGGCTAACCATCTCGACAAAGGTTTGAAAAGCCAAGGTACCCTGAATGCTCTGAAATTGAAGTCGGCAAAAAGAAGCCAGAAATGGAAGGCCTAAGAAGGCAAAACAAAGTTGGAAAAGTTTAAGTCCCACGTGATTAGCCGTTGTGCCAAAGTTTGAGGAGCCAAAAGTTCCCCAAGTTTTTTTTAAAAAAAGAAAAACAACAAGTCAGAAGGGAAAGGCCTACAGAGGCAAAAATAAAGTCGAAAAGGTTGAGCCCCATCGACCAATTATCATGGCAAAGTCTGGAAAAGCCAGAGTTTCTCCAGGGTCAAAAATGCAATCGGTATTCAGGAAGCAACCAGTTGCAGTTGAAAGGGCCGAGAACAAGTGATTGAAAAAATCATGGCCAAAAAACCAACCACCGTTTCAAACTAACAAATTAATCTTTGTTTGAAAAAAATAGCAAACAGGTGCAATCCAAAAGCAACCTTGCAAGAAGAAGGTGCGACAAAAAAGAAACTGCATAAAGGCTAGAAACAACTTTGCAGCAACAACCCAAAAAGGGAAGTCTCCTCCAAAATTCTTTCCCGCATTTACTCATTCTCTGAAATAAAAAAATAAAATAAAAAAACAAATGATGATGAAATGAAATGAAAAGAAAGAAAAGAAGAAAGATTCAAAATCATGGTAGTATAGGGTCTCCAATCCCTCGCTGCGTCTTTTCCAATATAGGGTCCCACTCCCTAGTTGATGCCGGTATAATTCGATGACTTTTCCAACATAGGGTCCCACTCCATAGTTGATGCCAGCATAATCCGATGAATTTTTTAACATAGGGTCCCACTCCCTAGTTGATGCTGGCATAACCCGATGACTTTTTCAACACAGGGTCCCACTTCCTAGTTGATGCAGGCATAACCCGATGACTTTTCCAACATAGGGTCCCACTCCCACTCTCTAGTTGATGCTGGCATTACCCGGTCCCACTCCCTAGTTGATGCCGGCATAACCCGATGACTTTTCCAATATAGGGTTCCACTCCCTAGTTGATGCCGGCATAACCCGATAACTTTTCCAACATAGGGTCCCACTCCCTAGTTGATGCCGGCATAACCCGATAACTTTTCCACCATAGGGTCCCACTCCCTAGTTGATGCCGGCATAACCTGATGACTTTTCTAACATCAGGTCCTACTCCCTAGTTGATGCCATCATAACCTGATGACCTTTCCAACATAGGGTCCCACTCCCTAGTTGATATCAGCATAACCTGACGACTTTCCAACATAAGATCCCATTCCCAAGTTGATACCAGCATAACCTGGTGAGTTTTCCAATATAGGGTTTACAATCCCTAGTTTATTTTACTTTTTAGACATAGGGTCTCCACTCCCTAATCTCTTTTTCCCAAGGATACACAATCCTGATCTTTATTGCTTGCAGTAATGAAGTAGTATAGAGTTTTGGTACAAATAACTCACGAAATTTTCCTAGTAAAAATTGGGGCAGAAAAATTTCGTTTGTTTGTTTGTTTGGTGTCTGAGCAGGTTATACCTTGAGACACAGGGTTCGAGACAACCAAAAAAAGAAGTCTCAATCCAGAATAAAAGAAAATGAAGTAAACTCAAAGTGCAAAAGTGGAGAGAAGATGTGGACTGCTCAAGACATGATTGAAGTGACAAGCTTTGCGTGTCCCGCCTTGATCCGAAAAGCTAAAGAAGAGTCAACTAGCACCTACAGCTGGCAAGCATCAAGATTCAGATCAGAGTCCGTATGAAGAACCAGCAAAAACCCAAGATCAAGCTTCAAAAGACTCATAGATAGGAATCTTGTAACTCATAACTGATAGGCTTAGTTAGTCTTTTTCATTTTTTATTTTGGTGTAATTAGGAGCTCAACAAGAAGCAACAGCAGCAACAACAGTAAAATCACAATTTTCCGGTAGTTCTAGCTACCAAAATTTCAGAACTACACCGACCAGATTCCTTTAAAGCCAAGGATATGTAGGCAACTTCCGAAGCAAGGTTTGGTCAAACTTTTTTAAAAATATTTCCAAATGGAGTATCAAACGGGCAAAAATTGCTCGTAATTGCTCACTTTATCTTTTCACGAAAACTCTTCATGTTCTCGAGCAAAGAGGGGCAGCTGCGAGTACCTAAGTTTTGCCCCATATGAAAATAACTCCTAAAAATAGACCAAAAATAATTTTAAGGGATTTTTAGGAGTTTTTCTTTATTTAGTTGCATTTCATGCATGTTTGATATTTTAAAATCATAAAACATTATCACATTTCTATTTCATGTCATCTTAGGTTTAATTTGCATTTTTTAGAAATTAATTACTCTTGAATTGTTAGATTAATATATGAAAATCACAAAAATATACATTAGTACTAATCAATTAGTTTAATAGGCCATTTCTGCAAAAACAATTCGAAATTGGTGTTTCAATTAAGGGGCTAAGTTTAAAATACAAAGAAAGAAGAAAGGGGACTTGTTTATTCTTCATTGAAATTGGGCCAGGGCATTTGCATCAGCCTAGTTACCAAAATAACCCAAAATTTCCCTAGCCAATTCCCTAATTGGCCCAACCGGACCCCCTTCCTTTAAAAACCCCATTTTCTAATCTAACAAAAGGGGACTTCATATATTTTGGAAAGAAGGCAGCGACAGACCTAAGGGCCCTAGTCCTAGCAGAATCGTCCCCATTACCCTTCCCCTCTAAGAGATCAAACACCTTTCAGCAACTTGAAAAACCATATGAGCCACACGCCCTCCCCTAAAAAACCTTCAAGACGCCGCAAGAACACACCCCCATCGGCCGCTCTTCTTCTTCACCTCATACCACTGGACATCCCTTCTTCTTGACATCTTCAAAATCAGCCACACCCCAACCTCTCAAGGACCACACACGGCCAGAAAATTAAGACAAAAGAAGAGAGGATAAAGAGCAAAACCAGAGGGAGTTTGAGAAGAGCAAAACTTGAAAAAACTTCAGCCCATAGCTTTTAGATCTAGTGGAAATTCCAAAAAAAAAATGAAATAATTCTTGTGTATAGTCATTTCTAAGAAGAAATCGAAATGGAGTAGCTGAGGTATTTGGGTTCGACTCGAAATTTTCCGGCGCTTGGTTGGAGTTCGAGGTTGTCGGCAAGGTCTCCGTTCAAGGTCCCTGTTCTCAGTTTAAAATTCAAGAGAACACTGATTTATTGAGGTTTCGAATTTTTCTTCTTCTGGTTCGGGGCTTGCTTGTTGTTGTTGATTGCTGATTGTCGCTGGGCTATGATTGAGCTCCATTTGTGCTTATCCAACCTTTGTTGGGTTCAATCGATTTGTTGCTTTCAGATTTAGTAATGTGAAAATTCAAAAGATTCGAAGCAATCATCTTGTCTCTTCGGTTTAGCTGCATATCAAAGGATGGTTGAGTTTGCTGAAAGAGGTTAGTTCCTGGCTTTCAATATATGGTCCTTGCATGTTTTAGTTCCTTTATCTTGTGATGATTATTTGCTCATTTGTTCTTAATTTTTTGTTGGTTGGTCATTATATGAGGGAAAAGTCAACGATGAACACATATTATTTTTCTTAGATGCTTAGTATCAATTTGTGGTAGAGCACTCGAAATTTCATGAAAATTGGTATGTTTTTAGGTTATTTGATGAGTGACATTGTTATGATTGAAGGATTTTCCTTTTAGCTTTTGATATTCAATTAACTAGCTAAAACTATCTTCTGTTAGTTGAATACCGCGTGTTATCAAGTGTGATGCAAAACCTACTTATCAGAAAAAAAATGGTCTGTTGGAAAATTTCGATTCTTCCATCAGTAGATAGGCATGGCTTAAAATAAATCTGATCAGTATTTAATGTACCATCCAATACTATTCTATGATGACCTCTTCGTAGGCGTGTACCTGAAAAAGCGACTTCATTTTGTCTAATGTTTGATGGAAAGCCGTATAACTCCTTACAGTTTCTTGTTACCTTGAGAAGCGAATGACTGCTTCTTTCTGGCGGTCTGACATTTAAAAGAAAATATTCGTAGAATGCTTTAGGCGCGATTAATTAACTATCGTGACTATGAGTACGGTTCCCGTGGCATAGTCATGATACATAATTCCCAAATTCGGGTGTGCATTTCATGTGACCCGGTCATAACAACTTTGAATAATAATAATAAAATAAAATATGTCGCAAATCGCGGGTGCATTTCATGTAGCATGGTTTGCAATGTGTTCCAGAATGACAAGTGTACGAGAATTGTAGTTTGTTCCAGAAATCAGTTCATAAATAAATAAAAGCAGTTATAAAGTTAAAAATGCACAATAGGTTTAAAATATGTAATAAATCAGATAATGAGGCCAATTATTAATAGTTGAGCGACCGTGCTAAAACTACGGAACTCGGGAGTGCCTCACATCTTCTCCTGGATTAACAGAATTACTTACCCGGTCTTCTGTGTTCGCAGACCATAAATAAAGTCAAATTTACTTGATTTGTGATTTAAAATAAATCGGCGACTTGGGACACCATAAATTATTCCAAGTGACGAATCTATTATTTTTGTGGTTGTGAGTCGTGAGTGAGAGGTGAGTGAAAGGGAAGGGTTGAATGACGGTCGATTAGAGAGATGGAGGAAAATGGTGGTCTGGGGTTTTCAGAGAAAATGCTATGGAGGTGCGCCGTTTCTTCTTTTTAGAGAGGAGGGGTCTCCTCTTTTTAATGTGAGCAATCTGATTCTCCCTTCACTCTCTCATTTGCATATATAGACACTCATAGATCTCTGACTTATTCCTTCTTTATAGACGCACAATGAACACACACGAAAATGGACTCCCATTTCAAAATACTTCTGAATTCAAAGTCTAAATCAGCTGCATGTGTTTCGATGTATCTGGGTTCTAAATATTGCTGTGGTTGAAAAATTGCTGCTGCTCTTTGTTTGGATCTACCGATTTGTTCATGGGTTTAGGAAATCGCTATTTTAGCTGTTGTTGAGTATCCCGTTGAACATTTCGGACTTTAGCTTTCCATTTCAGCTTCATTTGAATAATTTTGAGCTGTATTGTTGCTGTTTAGGTATGTTCATACACTTTCTTTGTGTTTTTTTTACTGAACCATGAACGAAGCTCGAGTTGTTTATTGCTTTACGCTATTAGATCTAGTATGTTTAAAGGCTAATTTAGTTGGAATCCTTTCCTCTGATTAACCTCTGCAAATCATAGTTTTTTTTTTTATATTTTATTTTGATGAAATGCTTAGGCGTGATTAACTAGAAAATTCTCTAATGAATCACTGGTATTCCTTATCTTTATTTAGTTTTGTGGTATTTCTATTGTGCTAGATAAATTTTAGTAGTGAAAGAATAAAAAATAAAAAAATAAAAGGGATTTTGAGAGGTTTTGTTTGTTCACTGTTTGTTTCGGCATGTGCTATTGCCATATGGTATGGGCTGAGTATTTGTTTTAGTTTTCTGCTCAACCAAATGCTTCGATAATTTCTTCAACTTTATTAGTTTCTCGGGTCAATTTCACATAGCTGGTGTTGTTTTATTTGCTTCATCAATAGTTTAGTTTATAAAATACTTGACATGTGGAAATATGATCTCTAATTTATTCAAAATTTTGAAATAGGCAAATCATACTTCAAAAGCTGTCACACCTCCTTTTTCCCGAGGGGGATAGGGAGTTTTTTTCAATTTCAGTGACATTAATCGAAATAGGATTATTTATTTAATTTAAGAGTCGCCACTTGGAATAGTTTATGGTGTCCCAAGTCACCGATTTATTTTAAATCCCAAATCGAGGAAATTTGACTCTATTTATTATCCGCGAACACAGAAGACCGGGTAAGCAATTCTGTTAACTAGGGAGAAGGTGTGAGGCACTCCCGAGTTCCGTGGTTTTAGTACGGTCGCTCAACTATTAATAATTGGCCTCATTATCTGATTTATTACATGTTTTAAACGTATTGTGCATTTTTAACTTTATAACCACTTTTATTTATTTATGGATGGATTTCTGGAACAAATTATGATTGTCGTACACTTGCCGTTCTGGAACACATTGCAAACCACGCTACATGAAATGCACCCGCGATTTGCGACATATTTATTTTATTATTATTATTCGAAGTTGTTATGACCGGGTCACATGAAATGCACACCCGAATTTGGGAATTATGTATCATGACTATGCCACAGGAACCGTACCCATAGTCACGATAGTTAATTAATCGCGCCTAAAGCATTCTACGAATATTTTCTTTTAAATGCCGGACTGCCAGAAAGAAGCACTCATTCGCTTCTCAAGGTAACAAGAACTGCAAGGAATTACCCGACTTTCCATCAAACATTAGACAAAATGAAATCGCTTTTTCAGGTACACGCCTAAGAAGAGGCCATCATAGAATAGTATTGGATGGTACATTAAATACTGATCAGATTTATTTTAAGCCATGCCTATCTGCTGATGGAAGAATCGAAATTTTCCAACAGACCATTTCTTTTTTCTGATAAGTAGGTTTTGCATCACACTTGGTAACACGCGGTATTCAACTAACAGAAGATAGTTTTAGCTAGTTAATTGAATATCAAAAGCTAAAAAGAAAATCCTTCAATCATAACAATGTCACTCATCTAATAACCTAAAAACATACCAATTTTCATGAAATTTCGAGTGCTCCACCACAAATTGATACTAAGCATCTAAGAAAAATAATTTGTGTTCATCGTTGACTTTTCCCTCATATAATGACCAACCAACGAAAAATTAAGAACAAACGAGCAAATAACCATCACAAGATAAAGGAACTAAAACATGCAAGGACCATATATTGAAAGCCAGGAACTAACCTCTTTCAGCAAACTCAACCATCTTTTGATATGCAGCTAAACCGAAGAGACAAGATGATTTCTTCGAATCTTTTGAGTTTTCACATTACTATTGCAGTCCAGCCCACAACCACATTGTGGACAAACCAAGAAATTGCCAAGTGAAAAGCTTGCAGAAGCAATCCCAACAGAAAAACTCAAGATTATCACCATTTTTAACGACCTCCACAATATTGAGCCACAAATTAGAACTTTTGACATGATTTTATTCCATAGACAAAAATGAACTAATCCAAAATATTTCAATGAACTCGTGTGAAACACAACAGAAGACGGAAAGGAGATGAACAAATTTCAATTATTTCAACAACAAAAGTATAGTTTTACAGACACGTACCTAAATTTAAAAGCAACAAATCGATTGAACCTAACAAAGGTCGGGTAAGCACAAATGGAGCTCAATCATAGCCCAATGACAATCAGCAATTAACAGTAGCAAGCAAGCCCCGAACCAGAGTAAGAAAAATTTGAAACCTCAATAAATCAATGTTCTCTTGAATTTTAAACTGAGAACAGGGTCCATGAACGGAGACCTTGCCGACAACCAAGCGCCGGAAAATTTCGAATCGAACCCAAATACCTCGGCTACTCCATTTCGATTTCTTCTTAGAAATGACTATACCAAACAAGATTTTTTTTTGCTCTAAAACTCCCTCTATTTTTGCTCTTTATCCTCTCTTCTTTTTTCTTAATTTTTGGCCGTGTGTGGTCCTTGAGAGGTTGGGGTATGGCTAATTTTGAAGATGTCAAGCAAAAGGGATGTCTGGTGGTGTGAGGTGAAGAAGAAGAGCGGCCGATGGGGGTGTGTTCTTCCGGCGGCTTGGAGATTTTTTAGAGGAGGGCGTGTGGCTCCTATGGTTTTTCTAGGTGCTGAAAGGTGTTTGATCTCTTAGAGGGGAAGTGGAATGAGGGACGATTCTGCTAGGTCTAGGGCCCTTAGGTCTGCCGCTGGCTTCTTTCCAAAATATATGAAGGTCCCCCTTTGTTAGGTTAGAAGATGGGGGTTTTAAAGGAAGGGGGTCCGGTTGGGCCAATTAGGGAATATGCTAAGGAAATTTTGGGTTATTTTGGTAACTGGTCCAATGCAAATGCCCTAGCCCAGTTGCAACGAAGAATAAACAAGTCTCCTTTCTTCTTTCTTTGTATTTTAATCTTAGTCCCTTAATTGAAACACCAATTTCGAATTGATTTTTACAGAAATGACCTATTAAACTTATTGATTAAATCTAATGTATATTTTTTTTTTGTGATTTTCATATATTAATCTAACAATTCAAGAGTAATTAATTCCTAAAAAATGCAAATTAAACCTAAGATGACATGAAATAGAATTGTGACAATTTTTTATGATTTTAAAATATCAAACATGCATGAAATGCAACTAAATAAAGAAAAACTCCTAAAAATCCATTAAAATTATTTTTTGGTCTATTTTTAGGAGTTATTTTCATGTGGGGCAAAAATTAGGTGCTCACAGCTGCCCCTCTTTAATCGAGAACATGAAGAGTTTTAGGGCAAAGATAAAGTGAGCAATTACGAGCAATTTTTGTCCATTTGATACTCCATTTGGAAGCATTTTTGAAAACGTTTGACCGAAACTTGCTTCGGAGGTTGCCTACATATCCTTGGCTTTAAAGGAATCAGGTCGATGTAGTTCTGAAAATTTTGGTAGCAAGGACTACGGGAAAACTGTGATTTCACTGTTGTTGCTGCTTGCTGAGCTCCTTATTACACCAAAATCAAAAATGAAAAAGACTAACTAAGCCTATCAGCTACGAGTTACAAGATTCCTATCTATGAGTCTTTTGAAACTTGATCTTGGGTCTTTGCTGGTTCTTCATACAGACTCTGATCTGATTATTGATGCTTTCTAGCTGCAGGTGCTAGTTGATTCTTCTTCAGTTTTTTGGATCAATGCAGGACATGCAAAGCTTGTTTCTTCAATCATGTCTTGAGCAGTCCACATCTTCTCTCCGCTTCTGCACTTTGAGTTCACTTCTTTTTCTTTTCTTCTTTTTCTTTTATTCTGGATTGGGACTTCTTCTTTTGGTTGTCTCAAACCCTGTGTCTCGAGGTATAACCTGCTCAGACATCAAAACAAACAAACGAATGAAATTTTTCTACCCCAGTTTTCACTAGAAAAATTTCGTGAGTTATTTGTAACCAAAACTTTATACTACTTCATTATTGAAAGCAATAAAATCAGGATTGTGTATCCTTGAAAAAAAGAGATTAGAGAGTGGAGACCCTATATCTAAAATGAAATCAACTAGGGATTAGAGACCCTATTGTTAGAAAATCATCAACTAAGGAGTGGTGACCCTATGTTAGCATCATGTTATGCTAGCATCAACTAAGGAGTGAAGACCCTATGTTGGCACCAACTAGGAGTTGTGACCCTATGTTGGCATCAAGTTATGTTAGCATCAACTCGGGAGTGGAGATCCTATGTTGGCATCGACTAGGGAGTGGTAACCCTATGTTAGCATCAGGTTATGCTGACATCAACTAGGGAGTGGAGACCCTATGTTGGAAAATCATCGGGTTACGCTGACATCAACTAGGGAGTGAGACCCTATGTTGGAAAAGTCATCGGGTTGTACCGGCATCAATTAGGGAATGAGACCCTATGTTGGAAAAGTCTTCGGGTTATGCCGGCATCAACTAGGGAGTGAGATCCTATGTTGGAAAAGTCATCGGGTTGTACCGGCATCAATTAGGGAATGAGACCCTATGTTGGAAAAGTCTTCGGGTTATGCCGGCATCAACTAGGGAGTGAGATCCTATGTTGGAAAAGTCATCGGGTTATGCCAGCAGCAACTAGGGAGTGAGACCTTATGTTGAAAAAATCATTGGGTTATGCCGGCATTAACTAGGGAGTGTAACCCTATATTGGAAAAGTCATCGGGTTATGACGGCATCAACTAGAGGGTGGGACCCTATGTTGGAAAAGTCATCGGGTTATGCCGGCATCAACTAGGGAGTGAGATCCTATGTTGGAAAAGTCATCGGGTTATGCCGGCATCAACTAGGGAGTAAGACCCTATATTGGAAAATCATTGGATTATGCCGGTATCAACTAGGGAGTGGGACATTATGTTGGTAAATCATCGGGTTATGCCGGCATCAACTGGGGAATGAGACCCTATATTGGAAAAGTCATCGGGTTATGCCGGCATCAACTAGGGAGTGGGACCCTATGTTGGAAAAGATGCAGCTAGGGATTGGAGACCCTATACTACCATGATTTTGAATTTTTCTTCTTTTTTTCTTTTATTTCAATTCATCATCATTTGTTTTTTTTATTTTCTTTATTTCAGAGAATGAGTAAATGCAGGAAAGAATTTTGGAGGAGACTTCCCTTTTTGAGTTGTTGCTGCAAAGCTGTTTCTAGCCCTTGCGCAGTTTCTTTTTGGTCGCACCTGCTTCTTGCAAGGTTGCTTTTGGATTGCACCTGTTTCCTATTTTTTTTTTCAAACAAAGATCAATTTGTCAGTTTGAAACGGTGGTTAGTTTTGTGGCCTTGATTATTTCAATCACTTGTTCTCGGACCTTTCAATTGCAACTGGTTGCTTCCTGAATACCGATTGCATTTTTGACCCTGGAGAAACTCTGGCTTTTCCAGACTTTGCCATGATGATTGGTCGGTGAGACTCACCCTTTACGACTTTATTTTTGCCTCTGTAGGCCTTTCCCTTCTGACTTGTTGTTTTTTTTAAAACTTCGGAGCATTGGGCAACTTTGGACTCCTCAAACTTTGGCACAACGGCTAGTCACGTGGGACTTAAACTTTTCCAACTTTGTTTCGCCTTCGTAGGCCTTTCATTTTGGCTTCTTTCTTTCGGCTTCAATTTCAGAGCATTTGGGGTACCTTGGCTTTTCAAACCTTTCCCGAGACGGTTAGCCACATGGGACTTGACCTTTTCAGCTTCATTTACCTTTATAGGCACTTCAATTTGATTTTCTCCTTCCAAGAGTTTTTGATTTCGAAGCATCGGCTGTCATGGCCGATCAAGGTCGACTTGTTGCCCCTGACGAGGCTACGTGCCTTTTTGCATATTAGCTTGTATCAAATGAGAACCCCGTAAATCAGTCTTACCATCCTTTCTTTGTCTTAGTTTCGGAACAGAGTTAGACTGAAAGGGATTCAAAGAAAACAAACAATGGAATGGAGAATGAGTTTAAAACAAAAAGTGTCCCTTTCGGGGAAAGGAAAGAAGGACTTATTTGTAGTATATGCGGACTTCAATGAATATGACATGCCTTTTGGACTGGATGCCTGACCCATGTAAACCGTCCGACTCTCAGAAATCAATCACAACGTTTGCTTCCAAACCGAGAAACCTTGCCAGGACTCTGTCAATATCAGTGACTGATGATCCTTTTTTCCGATCAGTGGTGCCCTTTGCGGGTTTTCACCAGCTAACCCCTCTCATTTCTCTTCTCATCGTCGCGTTATAGTGCACTTTGCGAGTTTTCACTAACAAGACTCTCTCATTTTTAATTTCTCTGCTTACCATCGCCTTATGGTGCCCGTGAAGGTTTTCATCGATAAGACTCTCTCATTTTGTTGTATCAGATCCAAGTAATTGTATCCTCCGATCCTTGAACATTCTCACCGATTGATCGGAAGGACTTGAAAGGATTTGGGTAAAAATGATTTGGACTGAATCAACTTTGGAACCATTCAGGCGGGATCATCGTCGAACCATTTTCCCCAGTTTCACTTTTGGAGGAATTTGAATTTTTATTTTGGTGTGACTGAACCCCAGAGAGAGAGGTTGCCTACGTATCCTTTCGGAATGAAGTCGAACGTAGTTCAGAGAACTTTGTTTATTTTCTTTTGTTTTTCTTCTGTTTTGTTTTGTTTTCTCTTTCTTTTTCCCTTCCTTTTTTCACTTTTTTTTTTCATTTTTTCATTTCATTTTCTTTGCCTTTTTTTATCTTTCTTTTTCTTATCCTTTTTAAGTTTTTTCTTCATTTCATTTTTTTTAATTTTTATTTTTTCAATAACACTTTCAGGTTCCAAAGAGGGGAATCAAAGAAAAGTAACCAACTCAAAGGGTTTGCAAAGGGTTGATAGTGTTTGGATAGTGAGAAAGAAAGCCTTTTTCATCCCAATCGGAAAGCATTAATGCTATATAGAGGATCCAACATAGTACATTTTGACTACATTTGCATTGACAGTTGTTTCAAGGGCATTTCCTTCGATGTATCCCAAGTACAACATACTCTTTTGATAGTACTCTTGTTGCAATGTATGGACCTTTCCAATCTGGAACCAATTTTCCTTCAGTTGTTGCCACTCTTTGTTTATTTCCTTAAACTTATCTTCATTGCGATCTAATTCTTGATTCATTATTTCGAGGCCTGACAGCGTTTCAGGATCTGGGCATGAATTCCGCAAGCATGTCATGTTATTGAAATTTGCATTTTACAGAACTGAAAAGAGAATAAGAAAATTGACAAGATTAAGAAAAGAGACATTCATGGACAATGAAATATTAATTTCACTTGATTTTTTTTGATTTTGATTTTTTTTTTGAATTTTAAAAGATAGAAGGGTTAACATTGGAAAGTAAGACAATAAAGTAAAACATCCGGAACACACCATGAGATAATCCGGACGTAGAAAGGATTGCAAGACTGGCTACCGAGATTTCCGTCTGATAGGAAACTTTCAGGCTTGTCGACCGTTTTTGGGTTTCTTCTGTCTCGGTAATGGCTGCAATGGCCTTCAGTGCCAGATCGGATTCCTCATTATAAGCAGGCAACAAATTGTTTGTTACATCAGGAGCCTCTTCGTCCCGACGAACGATTCTTTCAGCTTCAATCAAATCTTTAATTGCCTTTTTGAGGGTCCAACAGTCCTCTGTACTGTGTCTCACTGCTCCAGAGTGGTATTCACATCTAGCATCAGCTCGGTGCGAGGGGGACTTGGGGTTTGGCCGGTTTGGGGC